ATATATTACGTATTTCAACAATGCTTACTCGTGGTATTTTGCTAATTTTTAGCTACAAATTAATGTGGTTATTCCGTCTTTTTCACTTTAAAGGATATTTTCAAACAGGACTATAAAAATTAACAAATGCTTTCTGAAAAACTATGATCAGTGTTTACATTCATAAATTAACTTCTGCTACGAATTTATACAAAAAGTTTTTTTCCTGATGGAAACATATTTAGCGTTATCAAAAATTTGAGAATTTCTCAATTGCAGTACATTATTGGAATATAGGGTATAATTTCAACTTCGACAATGCCAAAATTATTTCCACTCCATTCGCATCAGTCCATCTTGATGCCTTGGAGTCTTATTTTATTCATATGAATACTGATTCCCCATTTAATGACTTTAGTTCCTCATCAACTCGCCATAGCATATGGAAATGCATTTTACTCTGATTTGCGTCCCTCGGCCACCGTGGTTCTTCTTCTTCTGTTTTTCAGCTCTTTTTTTTATCTCGGTTAGTGTAGTTTCTCCAGGTTTGCTTCTCACCTTTATTTTTCCATTGGCAACTTTGCGTTTTTTATTTCAAATTCTTTTGTCTCTTCTAATTCACATTTTGTTTTTTCTCACTCTCATTCTCATTTACTCTGGAAAGTCTAGAAAATGAGCGTCTATTTTAGAAGTGCTCGAAACATTGTCAACTATTATTTGCAATTTATATATTTCTGAAGCGAATGAACACTTTTTGATCAGGTAACATATTTAGGGATTAATTAATTATTCAAGTTGTTACATTCGAAATACCATCTTGATATGGACATCAGTTTCTATAGTAATTCATATAAGTTTGTCAAAGTAAAAAATAAAAATAAAAATCCTAAGCATGTAATTGATTCACTAGTATTCCATAGGTTAATAATGTTCCAAATGCAGTAAATATCAAACTTCTTTTGATTTTAACCAACCCCCATGCAGTCATATACAAAGTATCTTCTTCAATTACAGAATTTAGTAGCATAAAATATGCCCTATTTCTTGTGGTAAAAAATGGCTCTTTTTGGAGCATATTTTGGTAAAAAAGTGTATATTCCTCTTTTAAAACTTTAAACGAATCAGGTACGTTCGATGCGCAAAGTACAATACCCAAAAATGAAATCAAACTTGAAAAAATCAGCAGAAAACCTTCCAATTTAGCAGCCATTCCTGGGAGACCAGATAACCCTAAAGCAAGATAGGAAGCTGAAAAAAAGCAAGTTAAGTTATGAACCATCAGTAAAAGTACTGCAAAGCAAAAATTAGAATTTATTTCCTTAATGCAGAATAAAATCGTCTGCCTTTTGCTTAGAAGAACTAGAAGAGTGTCTTTAGTGATACATTTTACCATTTTTAAAGCTTCACTAATCTTCCACGTCAATACACAGTATATTAAAGATATAAAAAATGGAAAAGTTATTTGTTGGAAATGGTAAAAGAAAAAGCAAACAAACAGTAAAATGTTTTGCCAACCTTTAAACGTTTCTAACGAAGCACCATATAACCAAAACTTAGCGTAGTCATTGTCGTTACCAATATGATAAACAACATAACTTTGAATGCTGGCATAAAGTAATGAAAATAGAACATGAATTATCATTAAACTAATAGCAATGTAGAATACTCGCTTTTCATGCAAAACAAAGCAACGCATTGCTTTTAGCTTGTAATATAAATCAGACATGCTTTTAGATTTCGCATTAAAGCTAAACCATAAACAGCAAGATAAAACAGACATCGAGATGTTTACAATCCATGACTTCTCATCAAGTTTAAGAACGTATCCAAGTTTGAATAATATTCCAATATTATAAATAAAGGCTACAATTAAAAAGAAGGCGATTAAATAGCGGAATATATTGTTCTTCCAACTGGACTGTTTTAAATCCGTTTTAGTGTTGGTTCCAACTATTATTAAATAGTTTATTACTTTTTCGACAAAATAAAGTTCTATTGGAATATCGGGAGTCTGAAAATCTTCGTTAAAGTTTTCTTCGATGTTAAAATTCATCTTTGTAGAATAAAATTTTAGTTAAAAATAAGATTTCACTTCGATTAAAAATGCGATTTAAAGATAGGATTGAGTATATACTCAATGTTTTCAGCTGTCAAAGGCTTTACTCAAAAAGAATTTTAAATTTATGTAATGAAATAAAGACACTTTCTGCTGGAATTTCGACGTTATATTTGCAGAACTATAAAGACAAAAAATTTACAGTTGCACTTTAAAAAAACTTCTTTATTTAAAAAAAAATTATATTATGGAAAATTTATAATTTGATAGGAAGTTTGGAAATAAGATAAGCCTCTCAGCAGCTGTACCTTCTTGACCGATACAAAGCAATCCTCTTAAAAATAATAACATAAATCCAATACCTATAATCCATTACGAGAATACAGTTCTTTTAATTGACATTTGCTCAATATCTCATCAAAAAATGGAAATAATGTCAATATCTAAATGTAAAATGCTATAAAGTCTCGATGCATCTTATTGATCATACATGCTTAAAAAATTAAGTTTTGTTCTAAATACTGGAAACTAAATATACCGAAATATATTAAATGAAAGAAGCATTTCTTAAACGAAACTGTTTCAGTTGTCACCATAAACAACTAGCTCTTAAAACTTTTTATAGTAAAAGAATTGTACAAAGAAGTATTGCATTGTATTGACATTCAAATGAATTTTTAAACAGCTTGAGAATATTTTCTTTTTGTGATGCAATGAAATAAATATTTTTGCTAATATTCTATTGAATAGAGTCTTATTTGACATTTAAAAAAATCGAATGATTGAAGTTCATTTACATGTAGCTTATTTCTTGAATTAATGGAACTTTGTTTTCATAACAGTGCATTTTTAAACATTTACAGACGTGTTGAACCATAAAATCGATCGAATTTAAGTTATTTAATATAGTAATAAGGTGAAACAGTTTAGAGAGATTTTGAATAGCGTATTGATTCATAACTAATTCTAACTGTAACGCCCTTTAAACTGAATTTCTCAACTAATGACAGAATATGTAAGTGATAGAAAATAAGGTTAGTGTTACGGTTACCATAACACTTTACCGCACGTGTGAGAATAACTATTCCAAAATCCATGTACTATATAACTTTCCTTCTATAAGTTATTAATTATTATACCCAAGAAAAGTTTTAATTAAATATAGAATGGGAGAAATAGGGTCTTAAAAAGTGATAATATTTGCTTTTTGTAGATAAAGATAAGATTTTTCTATCTCAAATGCTGCACAGATTCATGACTCTATATATGTGACCGGCAAAGTATGAAATGCCGGCGTTATATATAATGTCTGACGTTTTTGGGCAAAGTATGAAATATGAGAAGTATTACAGACTTTGCCTAGACATTATATATAATGTCTTGGCATTATATATAATGGTGGATGCTACTTAGGCAAAGTATGAAATAAACGTCCTGATGAGGTTATTTTGTAAATGATGAGCATGTTACTGTGAATGACCGAAATCGGCGGTTGTTGACTTTCACCGGTGAATGTTAACAATCACATGGTCACTTTGGTGAATGTCCGAAAAATTTATTACATCCGATTTGATATTAATTTATTTGTGGATATAATTACATTTATTCGATATTTTAATACTTACTGACGATAGATTGGAAGAAACATCAGTGTTTGGAGTATCGGGCAAATATATACCGGGCAGTGGCCTTTGACCTTAAAAAAACATCAGTGTAGGGTATACCGGGCAAATGTATACCGGGAGATGTTTTTTTAAGGTCAAGGGCCACTGCCCGGTATACATTTGCCCGGTATACTCTACACTGATGTTTTTTAAGGTCAAGTGCCACTGCCCCGTACACATTTGCCCGGTATACCCTACACTGATGTTTTTTTAGGTCAAGTGCCATTGTCCGGTATACATTTGCCTGGTATATCCTACACCTTCACTAATGCTTTTTTTATGGTCAAGTGCCATTGCCCGGTATACATTAGCCCGGTACTAATGTTACCCCATACTAATGTTTCTTCTGATCTATCGTCAGTAAGTATTAAAATATCGAATAAATGTAATCCATGAATAAATTAATATCAAATCGGATGTAACAAATATTTCGGACATTCACCTATGTGATTGTCACATAATGTGATTCGGACTATGTGATTCCACTATTTGATTCGAAAATAAGTTTCACCTATGTGATTGTCAACATTCACAGGTGAAAGTCAACAACCACCGATTTCTGTCATTCACAGTAACATGCACATCATGTACATAATAACCTCATCAGGATGTTTATTTCATACTTTGCCTAAATAGCATCCAGCATTATATATAATGCCTAGACAATGTGTGAAATATAAATCTTTTTATACTTTGCCGGCTAGTTTTAGGCATTATATATAATGTCGGATTTCATACTTTGCCGGCTAGTTTTAGGCATAATAAATAATGTCGGATTTCATACTTCGCCGGTAACATACAGTCAACCCTCCTATAACCCGGTACTCTCAGAACGCGGTTTCCATATAACGCGGAGCTGAAAATGCAACAGCCCTCCTATAACGCGGTACTCTCAGAACGCGGTTTCCGCCAACAGCATCCCATAAGTTCCTTCCGCGTAGCCTAAGAATGTTTAGTTCGTTAGGGCCTATTTGAATTATAAGGGAACAGATGGCGCCAGTTTCATGTAGGTTCAGGCAGTGGGATCGCGACATAGTAACTAGATATGTTTACATAAAGATTATCTCCGGCTTATCTCATAGCGACATCAGTTTTAGTCTTTTCAGAGCTCTTTCACAGTGCACACGTTTTGTTGGTGACCAAGTCTTTCTAAAATTTTTTCTGCACTGTCCGTTCGTTCAGCTTTTTGCTGTTTAATTTGTGGTTTATAATTGGACAGCATTACACAATACTGTAAGTAATATTCTTCATTTGTTCTGATATAATAAAAATAAAGTAATTATTAACCCTAGATTTGCATCATGTCAAACACGAAAGAAACAAGGAAAGGGTTAAAAAGAAAGTTTATATCTCTTGAAGATAAAATCGAAATTCTAAATCGTTTAGAAGGCGGGGAAAAACTATCGTCGGTTGCAAAATCAACCAAGTTGAATGAATCTACAATTCGAACCCTAAAGAAAAATGCAGACAATATAAGGAAAACTGTGGCAGATGGCTGTCCGTTAGGTGCGAAACGTGTTACTCGCACACGAAATTCTAATCTGGTTAAAATGGAACGGGCGTTAATGATCTGGTTGGAAGACTGTATAGCCAAAAAGATTCCTATCAGTGGAAATCTTATCAAGCAGAAAGCACTTAAAATCTATGAACATTTAAGGAATATTGGGCATTCTTCTGCAGAGCTAGAAAATCATTCGTTTGTCGCGAGTAAAGGGAGGTTTGAAAAACTAAAAAAAAGGTACTCATTACACAATATTAAGTTTCAAGGAGAACAGGCCTCAGCAGATGCTGAGACTGCCAAGAATTATAATCTGGAATTAGCTAGAATTATCAATGAAGGAGGCTATTCACCTCATCAGATTTTTAACGCCGATGAGACGGCATTATATTGGAAAAAACTACCATCTAGAACCTTCATTTTGAAAAATCAAAGACGTGCTCAGGGGTTTAAACCTTCAAAAGAACGTCTCACCCTTCATATGTGCAGCAATCTATCAGGGAGCCTGATGATAAAACCTATGATAATAAATCGTTCTTCAACTCCCCGTGTATGAAAAACATTAATAAGACCGAATTGCCTGTATTCTGGCGATCTAATAAGAAAGCTTGGATGACCCAAGATTTATTTAAGGATTGGTTTTATAATTGTTTTATCCCGGCAGTGGAAACCCATACGATGGAAAAAAATTTGTATTTCAAAGTTTTATTGGTTCTTGATAACGCTGGTTGCCACAACATACAACTGGATCATCCAAATGTAAAAATTGTCTTCCTTCCTCCTAACTGCACGTCATTAATACAACCTTTGGACCAAGGAGTCATTCAAACTTTAAAAATGTATTACACACGCCAAGTTTTCCAAACCATTTTCGACAGTTTAGAAAGTAGTGAAAATATAACCCTTACTCAAGTTTGGATGGAATTTTCTATTCTAGATTGTATTAGAACCGTGTCATCGGCTTGAGCAGAAATTAAACCATCAACGCTTAATGCTTGTTGGAAACCCCTTTTACCTGAAATGGTTCAAGCAATACAAGATGATTCTACAATTTCACTCTCAGTTACAGAAATAGTAAACATTGCTTCTCGTTTTGGCGATGAAGAATTTACAACAAACCATTAGGATGTAAGAGAACTCGTACTCGGGGAAGAAACTTTAGATGAGGATGAACTGATGGATTTAATTGATGCACCCACCTCAAATCCATTGGTAAACGAAAATAAGAAAAACGAATGGGTGCCAAATGTCGATTTACTAGATGTGAAAAAAGGGCTAAATTTGGTTAAAGAATTAGAACTCCATTTCATTGAAACTGATCATTCAACGGTGCGTAGCGCAAAGTTTAAAAGAGAGTTAAGAAATTGCTTACCTCCCTATAGAGAGGTTTTAGTGGAGTTAGAAAAAAAAGCTACAATCGAAAACCAATGTGAAGATGAGCCAAGTGAGGAAGACATTTTGCCTATTAAAAGAAGACGAGTTAGGCGACTCATATTATCTGACAGAGAGGATGAGTGTTGAAAGATTAAATTTTTTCTTGTTTTTGTTGGAAAACAGTTTTTTAGTTTAATTTTGGTATCATTTCTTTATATAAACTCTTCAATTCAATAAAAATAATTTATCTTGTCCTTATTGGTCTCCATATAACGCGGTACGAATGATGTGATTTGTACTAATTCTGCGTATAGCACGGTTTCCATATAACGCGGTACGCACTCACCGCGCTATAGGAGGGTTGACTGTATTAACCCAAAACACTTATAAGATTCTTGAAAAGAATTGAGTTATGGGATTTATAAATATGAAAAAGTTACGCTGTTATACTTAAGTTATACTTAATTATACAAATGTATATATTTTTATACATCAGAACATTCATACTTCTTTTGCTTCACTGAAGCCCATTGATGTCAACTAAACTCTCGACATAAATATCACGATGAAATTCTAGATGTCATATATCACCTTAGACATTAGATGATCGAAAATAAGTAAAAAATTGCCTCCAAACATTTCCGTTTGTCAACGTATATCAATATCAGGTCTCACTTTTCAAAGCGTGTTTATTTGGTTGAAAGATTAGAAATGCTTTTCACCAAAAACTGTTGCTGAAGGGATAAGAGAACAATCATTAGAATGAGTTACAGAGCGTTTATTCAACATTTATTGTTTTCCAGAAAAATATATTGGTTCAAATTCTAAACAAAAATTTTCGGGAAAAAAATTTATTGCTGATAACTATTGTTAAATGTTCATATTAGTTTTTATGGGTGAACTAACTCAAAAAAAACTTCTGCACAAATATTGTGGACTTTTAAGACATAAAAATGTAAAAAAAACTTTTTCAGTAAAATAGTTTAGATGTGATAAAAGTAAAAAATATAAGTTAGGAAGAACATTTTATTCTTCATACTCTATTTTTACTATAAAATGTAAAACAACTATTAGAAACAACAAATAAATATATTATTCTCGATAAGTTTAAATATTTCTATGAAAGTCCGTTTTTTTTTAGAATTTTCTTCATGATATATGGCTGTGTAGGGCGTAATACGTCAGAACTAGCATCAAACGTTAATAGTATAAATTATAAATTTGAAAAATAAACTTTTTATCAAAGGACACTGAATTAAAGCCTTGAATACTAAAAACATGGAATTTATGCAACGGAAAATTATTTCACCTTGTTTCACATGTAACACTAAAATTTATAATAACAGTCACATATGATACACATAAGAATCAGTTATTTTTACGAACAATATAAGGTAAGAATCAGTTATTTAGGTTGCACGCATACACTAATTCTTAAAATAAAAATAGTTTAAAAATCAAACATGAACGTAGCAGAGAGAATAATAAGACAAATTCGAACTACGTTTAACAGAGCAAAGAGCGGATAAAAATTATGCAAATGAAAATTATTTATTACTTGTCACAGAGACTTGTAAATTACGATATAAATTCCTTATTACACATCTAAGAACATTCATAGAAATTTTTAACAGTGAACTTTAGTTTCATTATCTACTGCAGGCGAAATAAAAACGCGTCAAGAGTTAAAATTTTCTCAAGCGAAATTATTCCTACTATAGTGAGTGATCTTAATGTAAACTTTTTGCATTTTTGATGTTTAGAGTTTTCATACAACCTTTTAAACTATTAGGTTAATATTTGATATAACTGTTAACTGTAAACTGTTAACTTGAAAAATTTGTTTCGTCTCATGACTTTGGTCGCTCAACATCGAATTCGAGGAGATATTACACTGCAATTTATACAGTATAGTTTGTAGCACCATCTCTTTTCGAATTTAGTAATTAATTTTAAAACTTAGGGAGAATAAATTTCTGAATTTCACAGCTTAGCAAATCGATCATTTTTATCTCTTTTTCGTTTTTATTAATTGATTTTTCAAATTATCAATTATTTTTAAGGGACTTTAAATACTAAGCTATTACGAATAAAACAAAATCATGTTATTTCTGAAAAGGAGAAAGAAAGAAAAAAACAAATGACATTATACTTTATCAATAATGACATGAAAAAAATAGATGTATAATGTTATTTTCCTAAAGAATACATCCTTAAATGAATTTCGTATGCAAAATTAAAGTATTATGATATGATCTTAAAAAGAAAACCTCATTGGCGAAATTTGTTTCAAACCAAGATGACTTATTATCTTAAACACTATCAAAATAAAAAAGCATCTACCAAGTGTAATTTTACTGAAAGAAATGATTTTTCTTTCTGTTTAAAAAAAAAATACTTACTAAAAGAAGATTATATGAGAAAATATTGGATCAAATTGCGGTGTTGATTGTATGAAAAGAAATTTAATGTTACTCACAAACGTTGTTTTCCTTTTATTCATCGATAAGCTCATGAATAAAATACTTGTTTAATGCCGTGTTCGAGAAGTACATTTTCGCCCTCAACAGCAAATAATGTTAGAGAAAAGCCATCTGCAAAAGATAAAACGCAGTAGAAAATTAAATAAAGAAAATTGTTTTTATGAAACCATTATCTTTGTCGGTGTTTAGATTTTTAAATTTAATATTTGATGACATTGTGTTTCAAACGTATGCAACGTTGAAAGAATGCTTTTGAAAATTATTCTTTAATCCTTTGAAAAAATTATAAGCTTTCCATTCTAAAAGAAAATGCAAATTCAAGCTATACATACCCAAACAATTTTAAAAATATATCATTTTAAAAGCAAAACTGTGGAATGTACTCAATTGTAATATAAACATTTATAAATTTGTTTTTATAAACATTTAATGTTTAATGATCTTATTCTAATTAAAGCTTTGTTTTTGAATTCTCGGCAATTTAAATGTGGTTATCTTCGATTTATTTATCATTAAACAGTTTATTATTTTATTCTTTTCTTGAGATAATGAACGCAGGTTGAAACTGCAACATGTATTAATTTCAATAAATAAAATTTTACATTTTTCGCCCTTTAAACAATTCAAGTTCGTATTTAAATTTGTCATTCTGCATCGCCTATCTTCAAAGTAAATATCGGCAATTATTAGATGTCCGGCTTACAGCTTAGTATTAAAATGAGTCCTTCCACATTGTTTTAAAAACTGTTTATATCGACTGAAAAAAAAAGATATGTTGCTCTCAGCTTATCATTAAAATGCGTCCCTTCAAATTGCAATTTCTTTTAAAAATAAACTGCTTGTATACTGCATATTTTACAAACTATTTACCTCATTTGTAATTTGAAACATGTCTAGCTTCCAGTTTAAGAGAATCCAGCGTATCATTAGAATGTGTGCTTCTGAATTGTATGAACTATTGAAATTATTAATTATTCTCAAACTATTAATCTCATTAGAAAGGGAAAGAAGTCTAGATTCTAGCTTAAGAGAATCCAGCTTATCATTAAAATGAGTTCTTCTACATCGCATATTTTACAAACTATTTATCTCATTAGTAAGTGATGCATATTTAGGTTCTAGATTAAAAAGATAAGTTGCTTCGTATTCGAATGTCTTCAACTACAGTGCATATTTCACAAACTATTTGTCCCATTAGTAATTTGAAACGTGTCTAGCTTCCACCATAAAAGAATCCTGGTTATCAATAAAACTAGTCCTTCTACATCGCATAATTCATAAACTATTTATCTCGTTAGAAGATGATACACGTTTAGGTTTCAGAGTAGAATAATAAATTGTATAATAATTATTTACATGAAAAATATTGACTCCCTTGTTTGTTCGAATAAATTTAAATCAAAAAATAAGTTTATTAATTCGACACTATATGTAATGCATATGCATGTTAACTTTCATTGAAAATGCTTCTAATTCTTTTTAGAAAAAAATAAAGAAAAGCGAATTTACCAAACACTTGATTCAAGAGTTTCCTTAATTTTTAGGTAGATACAGTTTTATAAATGTGTAGTGATGAACTTTTTGCTTCAAATCCTCTTGTTAGAAAGCACCCAATACCTTAAAAAAAAATAATTTTTCAAAACAGAGAATTTGGAGAATTTTTATACGTGTTACACGTTCAAAACTTGAATCTAGCCTA